CCCTCCCCAGTCCATCTCCAATGCCCCTCTTTTTCTGCACTGTTACTGTACAGGAAGCACAGTGGAGGGCCGCTGTGACTCAGAACCAGCAGGCAGTGAGTTAACCGGGTGTTTTAGGGGTATAGGATTTTTTTTGTGGGGTCTCAGGCTGTGTTTGAGGTGCTAACTGAAAGGTCTGTGGCTGAATTCACCAGCCTCTCTCTTCAGGAGAAACAGGGGCAGCCTCCAGCCTTTCAGATTTACCACCTGGTGATCTGGTGCAGAGACGCCCGGAGGCAGGATTGGACCTGCGGCCGGTGGGTTTGCCTTTCCATGTAGGTTGTGCTCCTGTGTACTGGGTGGTTGCAAACCAGAAGGTTAACAGTTCAGACCCATCGAGTGGCTTCATGGGAGAAAGACCAGAGATCGGAGCTCAGAAACGATGTGGGACAGTCCTACTGTCACCTGGGGTGGCTGGGAGCCAGGACCAGCTCCTGGATGCCCACCAATAGCAGTGACCGTGCTGTGCGCCCCATGTTTGCTAGTGACCCCTCTTTTTGGGGGAGAAGGGGCAGGGGTCAGGTGGCAGGCATCGTGGTGAGCAGTGTCCCTGAGCCTGACTCGTTTTGCATTTGTTTGATTCTGTCTGCAGGGTGATGGAGGAGGGTGGCAGGGCTGGGGTTTTCAGGAAGAACTTGATGGATCACTTGGCAGCCTGTCTTCTGGTCTCTCTTCCACCCCTGCCCCCCGACCTCCATCATGAGTCAGTTTCTAAAACCTTCTGGTTATGACTGGCTTTTGGGAACCTGCTCCCTAGGAAATCAGGCTTTTATTATCTTGATTCTGCAGAAACTCCAGATAGAGCCGCTGGCCCCAGCAAGTTCCGACAGCTCTGATCTCACTGCTGGACGGATGTGGTTTTACACCTTCCTCTCCTAGTTTCCCAGTGACTGGAGTAGTTGGAGGTGGCGCCCAGGTGCTCCCTGCGCACTTCCTGGGGAGGGCACAGCCACCCTGGCTCCTGGGCCTTGCTCGTCTGCATACTGGTCTCCTTGGCCCGTGTACTGTGTCAGTGGCCCCCATAGCCACGAGAAAGGCACCATCGAGGGTGCTTAGGAAGCACACGTTTATGTCCTGAAGACGCCCCAGTGTCACAGTGGTTAAAGCTCTGGTGGGCAAAGTGAAATGTTGGGAGTTCAAATCCACCAGCCGTTTGTCTGAAGGAGGTTAAGGACTCTCTGCTTCCGATTGTTACAGCCTCAGAAACCTCAGGTGGTTCTGCTCCATCCTGCAGGGTCTCCACGAGCCAAATTAGATGGAAAAAAATTATTTTCTTTAGTTTGCGTACAAAATTCGTATACATTGTGTTTCACATTGTTCTTCATTCACTTTGTGTTTCATAGAATGATTCCCATACACTGTGTTTTAGAAAATTAGTCACCATTCATCAACAAACAAATGGATAGAGAAGCTCTGGTATAGTCACACAATGGAATACTATGCTGCATTGAAAAACAAGGATCTCATGAAATATTACGCAAAATGTGTGACCCTGGAGGACATCATGATGAGTGAAATATCTCAGTCACAAAAGGACAAATATTGCATAGGGCCACTGTTGTAAAACGGGACTGACATCAGAGTTGAGGGAAGACAGAGAAGGAGGGGAGGAATGATGTATACTGCATTGAAACAGATGAGGGAGAGAACTGTTTAAAAGGGATATATGACTGGGTATTCTTGTCGTTACAGGAGTCCAGAGTAAAGGCTGCATAGTGGAGTGTACTGGGGGAGGGACTGCATAACAATGAAAGAGTTTTTCTTTTTCTTTTCAAAGAATTGGTGGGGAGAGGAGGGAGAAAAGTGCAACAATGAATGACTGGAAACCCTAAGTCTCTGTAAACATTCATTGAAATTAGTAAGAAAAAAATATAGACTTTGACAACAGAAAAAAAAAATTAGTCACCATTGAGCTATGCCCACCATCACCCTGTCTTTTCCCATTTCCTTCACCCCCTCCCTCCACCCACAAATTGTGGACTCTGATTTCCCCTGCCCCCTTACCCCTCTGCACCCACCCTCACCCCTCTGTACCCCCCTTTCCCCATTGCACCCTCATACAGCCAGATTTGATTTTGTGTGTGTGCACGCACGTGCCATGTGGGCTTTTTATGGCCTTGTGGATGGAGGAGGGGCGGGGAGCCCCTTCTTTCCTGCCAGCTCCTGCTTCCTGGAGCACGGGGCTCCCAAGAACCCCACTCAGATTTGCAGCTGATCTGTCTCACGCCTACGTCTTTTGCTTTTTTCCTCTCATTTTAGCAGCTCCATCGGCAGAGTCTTAGGCCCGGGAAGGGAGCGCTGGCTCCCTGAAGGCTGGGCCGCGGTGAAGGGTGACTGAGGGGAAGTTGTTTTGTGAGGAGATGCCAGCTGCACACCACTAATCTGGGTGCTGTGGGGATTAGCTGGGCAGTGAGGGGCCCTACGCAGGGTGGTCACGTGCCCTCGGCTCCCCATCTCCTTGCAGCCCTTCTCCCAGGGCAGCACCTCCTCAGTAGTGGGCTTCCTCTTGTCCTCTTAGAGTTTCCTGCCAGGCAGGTCAGGGGCTGTGAATAGGGAGCGGGACCCCTTGGTGTGAAGCCGGGTGAGCTGTGAGACCCTCAGTCAAGTGCACCTCAGTAGCCCAGCTCTCGGTGAGATGGAGTCGTGGAACCTGAGGCAGGAGCTCCCGAGGGGTGCCCACTGTGGGTGAACAGGTTACCTGTGGTGCTGTCAACCCAGCACTGTCTGGCCTGTTTATCTGGCCGAGGACATCCTGGAAGCAGGGAACTGGGGCTGAGGGTTCGGCCAGGTGCCTTAGCATACAGGGCCACTATACATCCCCATGACCCATAATTCATTAGAAAATGTACTAAAAAAACCCACAGATAGCAAACTCTAGCCTCTCTTCCATCCCCCCACCCCCCGCAGAGACCTCTGTCCTCATTGCTGTCTGTGTGTCCATCTGCAGGTGTCTGTCTTTCCAAACCTTGATCATAATAACATTTATCTTGTCCTCTTGTTTTATTTTTTTTGGAGAGAAGTTGTTTTGGGTTGTATTTTTTAAAGTGTGATTTTGGAGAACATTTTCATAATAAATTAGATTTTCATTAATAATTTCTATACATATAATTAAGGGAGATCTGGTGGCCTAGTGGTAGGAAGCTGCGCTGCAATCCCAAAGGCAAATGGTTCGAATCCACCAGCTGCTCTGAGGGGAGAAGGATGGGTAGTCTCCTCACATGCAGTTTATTGCCTCTGACAACCTGCTGGAGGGTCAGCTATGGGTCACTTCCAACTCGACGGTAGCAACAACAACCAACATACATGTATTCCAGGACTCAGGAGGCCTTGTCCAGAGAGGTTAGGCTGCTGATGCAAAGGCTGAGTCTCTTGGCAGTTTGCATCAAATGGGTGGTCTGCTTCCGTTGAGTTTGCAGCCTGGGAAATCCAGTGCGCGTGTTAGCCGTATGTTGGTTCTGACTCCGTGGCAATAAGAGTGGGTGAAAGAATAGGACATATTGAAGCGCCTTTGCAGTGTAGTGGTTAAAACGCTTGTCTGCTCTCCTCAAGGTCTGTGGTTCAAACCAGCTGCTCCTTGGGAGAATGGTGAAGCAGTCTGTCCCAGGAAAGATTTGTAGCCCTGGGACGGTTCTTTCCTGTCCTGTGGTTGGTATGAGGCAGTCTGTTTGCTGACAGAGGGTTTAGCTCTTGAACATTTGTCATATTGGTGACTCTTTCCACAATGTGTCAGCATTCTCATTATTTCTATTCTGGTGGTTCTCTTTCCATATATCTAGCTTTCTGTGTCTCCGACCTTCTCATTTTAATTTAGGGTGTGCTCATGGAAAGCATTGTCTCAGGGAGCTCAGGACTCAGGGGTGAAGGTGTTTATTTCCTGAACCACTGCCGTCTGGCTGATGGGTGACCAGTGGGAGTGATCAGCAGGGACCACAGTGGCCACAGGGGAGGGAAGGCAGCTGCCACAGGCCTGGGAGGGTATGGAGCCCGTGAAGACTGGCTTCCTTCCTGCCTGTGAGGGTGGCCGGGCTGGGCAGTGGCAGCACGTGGCAATGTGAGAGGCCCCATGAGAGCTGAAGAGGAATGGGGAGCCCTGAGGAGGAGTGACGGGGCTCTGGGGTGGTGAAGATGGTGGGCATTGGCGGGGGGGGTTCCACCAATGAAGGCCTGTCTCTGGAATTGGAGAGGGAGAGGGTTCACTTTGAGGAAAGTGTGCCAACTTGGGTTTCTAGCACCTCAGCCAAGTCCTTTATGAGAACATTAAGAGAAAAAAAGCTTTGAGGGGGAGCTAGGGGTGCATAGCCCTTCACCCCATAAGTGAGGCTGCTCTGAGAGATGCAGGTTCTCATTGCCTTCAGTCAGGTGTGGGGAATGTTCTGGAAGTAATGTTCTCTGCCTCCTGGACTGACGCTTCTTTTTTTTTTTTTTTTTTCTCCATAGGAAGCGAGGGATAGAAGTCGTGCAGGTGAGTACGGGCCGTGTCATGGCCTTTCCCCATTCCCCACGTCATGTGGCCTTTTAATGCCCATCTTTCCCCCTTGACTTTAAGCCTGGGTGCCTGGCTCTGAGGCTGCCTGGAATCTTGGCCGCTTGTTGATTTGATGCGATTCCGTGGGCTTGAAAGGTTGCTCTTGTTTTATCCGTGTCATTTGCTCCCAGAGAAGAGGGGTCCATTTGGGGGAGGATGTGAGGGGGGCTCGAGGGAAGTCCCTCTGGCTAGCTCCGGCCACTCAGCAGTCTACCAGGAAATTTCCACTGGGAGCATTTATCAGAGGAAGTAAATTCACACTCTCACCCACAGGCACACTGCTTGAAAAGGGAATACTCCCCCCAACCCCCAAATACCTGATCCCCGATCATGTGAAATCCCAAACTCCGATGCAGTCCAGTGGTGCGCATTCCTCCCTCCAGGTGAGGGGCCAGTGCACCTGTGGACACCTGCTTCAGAAGGTGCACGGAGCCCTGCACACCACTGCCCAGGAAGGTTGAGGCTGAATCCTTGAATCCACTTCGTCTGTGGGTGTCTCAAGCCTTGCCCGTGCCCTCCAGCCAGAGCCAGCGTCTCAGAACGCAGCAGGCAGAGGGCGAATTAGGAAATACTCTTGACACGCCTGCTGTTCATTTGTAGGATGGCTTGGCGGAGGCGGTGGGGGCGCGGCACCAGCGTGAAGCCAGTCTGGATGCGTTCCACCCAGGCATCTAAAAATAAAACCCACCGCGATGTCTCTGTCCGCCTCCTCCCGGCATCCCTGAGTGTTTGGGGAACATTAAATTTTAAGACACTGAGAAAGGCTCTTTGCCCACACCGGGAGCCAAGTCCTCTGCTGGGTTCTGCCGAAGAGCCGAGTTCCTGGGGGCCGTATCCCCAGACTGTTGGGCACCTAGGCCCTGGGGTCAGCATGTCACCAGAGCCCCTGAGGTCGAATGTTAATAACTGAAGATGTGACCAGGACACTAGATGACCGAGGCACTAACATGTAGCCATTGTCTTCCAACCATCAAGTTGGAACCGCCCCAGAGCTGCACACCCTCCCGCGGGCTTTCAGAGGCAGTAAACGGCACAGGAGGGGATGACCCAGCTTTCTCGCAAGGAGCAGCTGACGGCTTAGAACCATGTACCTTCGCATTGGCAGCTCAGTTCTAACCAGTAAGCCACCAGGCTCTAGAACCACAGGGCGTTTCTTGAGTCAGCCCCCACTGTGACAGCTCCTACTCATTTTGTACGATCACCCAGTGATGTGAGTGGTGTTATCACACCCGTTTCACGGATGAGGAAACTGAGACTCCCAGGGTCAGGACTTCGGGGCCCCTCATCCGGGAAGGATCGTGCAGGGGTCTGAGACCTGCGTCTTCTCTGCTTCTGGGCCCTGTGCACGGCCACTCCGCCCAGCTGGCTGTCCCTGCCTGCTAGTGGGAGCTCCGTTGATGTACGTGTTGTGTGTCTCTTACTCACTTCCTGGCGTGTGGCTCGTCTCTGAGGAAAGCGTGTTGGGTTTAGAGCTTGCCCCAGTCCTGGGGACTATGCCCCATCCTGCTTTTTAGTAGTTCTATTAGTGATAGCAGGGTGCTAAGATGCCCTGATGGTGTAACGTGTAACATATCAGGCTGCTAACCAAAAAGTCCTCGGTTCGAGTCCACCAGCTGCTCCTTGGGAGATTCGTGAGCAGTCTCTTTGCATAAAGACCAACAGCCTTGGGAACCTGATGGAGACTTGCGGTGTATCCCCGCTGACCTGGCAGTGAGTTTTGTTCTTGTAGAACTTCAGGGCGGTGCCAGCGGTTAAGCTCTTGACTACCATCCCAGAATTGGGCAGCTTGAACCCACCTAGAAGCGCGTGGGTAGACGAGCCTGGTGCTCTGCTTCTGAAAGGCCAGAACTTGCAGAGCCGATAGAGAAGTTCTGTTCTACGTATGTGGGGTCCCCGTGGATTAGACTCGAGGACAACGGTGGGGGTTCCCCAGGTGGTGCATGTGGTGACGTGCTTGGGTGCTAACTAAAAGATTGGAGATGGACGCCCACACAGAGATGCCTTGGGAGAAAGTCCTGGTGATCTGCTGTCACACAGCCAGCCACTGACCACCCTGTGGGGTTCTGTTCTCTGTACACACCAGCCGTCGTGAGGCACATGGCATTGGTAGCACCAGTGGTATATGACTACCCTTTTCAGTGAAAAGCGTAATGTAAAGGACACAGTGGCCCGTTATTTTAAAGAAGCGTTTGTATTTGACTTCCTGAGGTGAGAGGGGAGCTTAAAGAAGAAGGCCAATGCTGCCAGTGCCCAGCTCGGCAGAGCTTGGGAACGAGCCATCCCCCTCCCTCCCAGCTGCCCCCCCAGTGCCCTTCCTCCTGGTTCTGCACAGACACAGAGGGTCAGGAGCAGGACCTCCTGGTTCCAGTCTGAGATACTTACCCATTCTGTGCCTCACTCAATTTTCCCATCTGGGAGCCACAACCGAGAATGGTGCCAATCCCCTAAGACTGTTAAGAGGGCTGGTTGGTTTGGTTACGTACTTGGCACATGGGAGGCTGATTAATTCTTGGAGGATCGGGCCCTCTGACCCAGAGCTGGAGGGGTGGCAGGCAACCCCACACGTGGAACCCCCTGGCGTCGGGTAAAGTGCCCGGTTATTGTGATTCTCAGGTACGCCAGGTATTTCCAGTTTTCCACTTGGAACAGAATTGAAAGAGGCCCTGATCCCGCCACCAGCTATAGAGCGCCACCAGCTATAGAGCGTTGACACAGTTGTTTGTTTTACAATAGAGGATTGTGATTCTTGGCATTCTGTTCTGAAAGAATCCCGAGAATGTGCGTGCCATAGATCTCGCCCCAGGCCATCTTGTCATCTTGTTTTGTTGTGTGGTTTTTGTTGTTTTTTTTAAAAAACTACTTGAATAAGTGGTTTTAGTATTTGTATTGATAACAGTGAAAAATGGAAAATAGAATAGATACTGAACAATCTTACTCTAGCAGTATGTCTTTTTACCTTGTAATACCAGAAACAGTATGAAAAAGAATTTCCTTTCTGTCTTCAGAAGTATATTTTTTAATAATGCTTTAATTTTTTATACTTATTGCTTATGGACATTTGCAATACAGCACTGTAATATTATTACTCTGGGAGTTTGGCTGCTAGCTACCATCTTGATGGCGGTCACATCAGTCATGTAAGGGAAGTTTTTCGGGTCGTGTTTGATGCATGTTACTGTTCTTCCCCTCCCCAGGCCCTCCAAGAGTGGGTGTCCTTGAACCTGTGGCCAAGGGTGGAGGTCTGCGGTTCTAAAAATGTATTAATTTTCAAATGAATATTCTTTAAATGACACAACAATCTTTTTTTCTGTTTGCTGAACTGAACAACTTGGTGTTGCTGTGACGCTGCACACTGTTCCAGAGGCTGGTCAAATACCATAATGGTTACCCATTGTGTACAATGTGTGGATGAGCTTCCAGATTGATTTATGCTGGGAAGAGTTTACTATCTAGACTCTGCAAATGTACAGAAACGATGTAAGCTATAGAACAGAGTTCAGGTCTTTTGTGCAAAGCTGACTCTCAGTCATGTTCAACTTGATGACACTTAACCACTGCTAAATGAGACTAGTGCTGTTCTATCTAGAGGAACACTCTTCCACTTTGTACATCACTCTTTGTCAATGTGCTGTGTGAAGTAACCTGGGTTTGCTGTGACGCTGAACCTTGTACCATTGGAGTATCAAATACCAGAATGGTTTCCCAATGTGCACAGTGTTTGGTGGAGCTTCCAGTTGTAAAACAGGTTTGGAAGCAGGAGTAGCATCCACTTCCTAAACCACGTGCCTCTGGAAACTCTGTGAACTTGGAGAAAAGACGACAGTTATGGAAAGGCATTAGGTCTTTTGTTCATAGAGTCGCTATGAGTCGCGCTTGACTCGACAGCAATCAATAACAACAACAAGAACTATAATATTTTGATCAGCTGTGTAGTTAAAGTAATTGTAACAATAATTCGGTCATTACAGTTAAGTCTGTTGTTATTATGTGTAGTTGAGTTGCTTGCAACTCATAGCGACCCTGTGTACAACAGCTCTGAAGCTTGCCAATCTCACTGACACTGACACGCCTACTTCCATTGCCCCAGTTACTGTATCAATCCATCTCATCCAAGGTCTTCCTCTCCTGATCCATCCCTCTAGCCTTCTGAGCATGATGTCCTTCTCCAGGGACTGGTCCCTCCTGGCCACATGCCCAAAGTGTGTTGAGAAAGAGTGTCAAAATCCTAGCCTCCAAGGAGAAACTTGGTTTCTCCCTCTCCAAGATAGACCTGTTTGTTTTCTTGGCAGTCCATGGTATGTTCAAGACTCTTTTCCAGCACCGCAACTGAAAGGTATGGTGGACTCTTCTGTCATCCTTTGTTGTTGTAGCGTAAATAACAATTAGCACTTTGTGACCACATGAAATGTAAAAAAAAAAAAAAAAAGCAAAAGCATATAAAATGCACATACTGTTAAGAAGCCTTGGTGTCACAGTGGTTAAAGCATTCTTTCAATCAGAATGCCTGGGGTTTGAACCCACCACCAGTCCGTAAGAGAAAGATGGGGCAGGTTTGGGGATGCTGCTTTACAACTCATTCTCTACTTCGTGAGTGATCTTCAAGCCCAAGCCCTCTACAAAACCCAGCCTTCGGTAGGATTCACTGCCTCAGAAACACTGTGGACGGTTGTACTCGGTCCGGCAGGGTGGCTGGGAGTCAATGAACCTGTCTCCTGCAGTCACTGAGAGTCGTGGTCAGGGTGATGGCACCTACCAACAACATGATGGAATGATCTAGAAGGTGCTGTCAAGCATAAACCAAGGACATCTCGGGGACAGGTGGGTTGGAAATCGGCTCTCCAGGAGGAAAAGAGGAACATTGTTACGTTTCCAACTGTAAAAGAAGGGCTTGATTATGTAATTTTAAAATAGATGATGCTGGCTCACAAATGGCCGTG